GTGCCTGATTCCCCTGTCCGGAGTGAGATTGGACGGTGGATCCTTGGACACCACGTCCTCGAACTCCTTCACCAAGGGGTACACCGGGTCCCGGGGGTTCTTAAGAATCTCAGAGCCCATGCGCGACGCGCGCTGTCTCTGGAACTCCTCCAGGACTGCCTGGTCCATGATCGAGGACGAGTTCAACTCGGCCGACGTGAACTCCGGTCGGAGGAGAACCAACTCTGCGATCTCCCCGGTCTTTAGCTCGGCCAAGAAGTCCTCCATGGCGAGCTCCTCAAGGTTCAGCAACTCTGAAACCTCGAGCAGAGCTGTAAGCTCGACAGCTCCTGTCTTGACCCGACGACCGGTCACGCCGTCGAAGATGTGATAACACTCTTCGGCGGCTGGAGCCTTGGCTGGAGGCTCGGAGTCGCTGGCGACTGGCGTCGTCGGCCACACGACTAGGCCCGGCTTACGACGTGACCCTCGGGTGTCTTCGTCTCGTGGCGCCGCCTTGACGGCACCACCGATCTTCTCGATCTCGTGCGGAACTACGTTACCCGTCTTGTCCTTGAGCGGAACTTGGTTACCCGCCTTGTTCTTGAGCGGAACTTGGTTACCCGCCTTGCTGGGTGGAACTATGTTACCCACCTCGCCGTGTGGAACTTGGTTACCCACACCAGGAGCGCTTCCAGCGACTCCCGCATCAGTTATGGTCTGAGTGACCTCCTGTGGAACTATGTTACCCACATCGGAAGCGCCTGCAGTGCCTTCCTCATCAGTTACGGTCTGAGTGACCTCGCGTGGAACTTGGTTACCCGCGCCAACGCCAGCGGCGCCTTCTCCAGCAGCCCTTGCTGCCTGCGGTACTTCGTTACCCGCGTGTGGACCTACGTTACCCACCTTGTAGGTGCTGTCCGGCACCTCCACTCTCAGGCCTTGTCCGGCCCGGTCGGAGTCGTCGTCAGTCTCGACGAACCCCAAGAACTGATTAGACGCTGCTGCGCCCTGGCGGCCCTCGCGGGCGCCCCAGCTGCTGCCAGAGGTGGGAACATGACTCACCAAAGCTCTGTCAGAGCGTGGGGGACGGCTGGCCCCGATGGCCTTGCCGCGCCAGTCGATCCAAGGCTCGTGTTTCTCCAGCCACGGCATTCCAAGGATCAAGTCGTACTTGTCCATGTCTAGGACCAAGAACGGCTCCGTGCTGTCGAAGTCCTCGAACTTGACAGTGAGGTCCATGTGGACCCGAGGTACTTCTACCACCGTACCGTCGGCCAGTCTTACCGAGACCAGCCCGTTGCCTTTGCTGCCTCGTAGCGCATCGGCGTACTTGTCGCGATTGCGTGCGACAGTCTGGCGGCGCGCAAAGTTCTTGGACGCCCCAGAGTCGATCAAGATTCTCAAGGGATGATCGTATCCCGGTACACTCGCGTGCACCACAAGCAGCCCACCGCTGCCCTTCTCCGCTTCGAGAGTACAGAGACTCTCAGGGGCTAAGTCCCCATGGCGTGCGCCACCCGCACGCCCCTCATGAAGACTTAGTGTTTCCCCAGTAGGGCGCCCCGCCCCTACTGGTGTCCGGCGTTCCCCTGGTTCCTGGGGCGCGGCTTCTGCCAGCGACCGCTAGAGCCAAAGGGCTTCGAAGAGAACTTCTTCTTCAGTCCTCCCGCGGGACAAGCACGTTTCATGTGCCCAAGCTTGCCACAGCCGTAGCAGCGAATGTCGCTCTGCTCGGCCATGCCCAGATCCATGGGAACCTGCCCGTTGATCGCTCCATTGCCGGAGTTACCATTAGGCGCACCGCCAGAGGCAGGGTTGCTCTGCCATACCATGACTGGGGTACGAGCCTGCTTGTGGCTGTACTCCTCCTGGAGGGCGATCTGAATCGCCTCCTCCATAGTGTTTGCTTGCACACGGAACAGTTGCGTGCGGGCAGGACCGACACGCAGACCGTCCGTGAACACGGTCACCTTGATGTGTTCAGGCAGGGGGTTCCCCACCAAAGAGGCAGTGAGCACTCGCATCTCCTGGATGTACTCATGCAGCTCGCGCCTTCCTTGTTTGCAGGCGAGGAAGCGCGAACGCTGGCGGTACTCGTAGTTCGCCGGAAGAAACGCGGCCCGCAGTTGCTCGCACAGCTAGGACCATGATGCGAAGCATTCAGGCGTCGTCGCTTCGCGCGTATACGCCCAACTCTTAGCGCGACCACTAAGGTTGGAGAGCGCAAAGGTGACACGGAGTCGCTCGTCCGAGACGAGAGCCGCGTCCATCGCGAGCTCAACCTCTCGAACCCAGAAGTGAAGGTTTTCTCCTTCCTTCCCTTCGAAGGGGTGAACCTTCAGCCGCAGGGGCTTCGGTTGCACCGGCTTCGGCGCGGCCGCAGTGGCCTGCAGCCCTTGAACGTGGGCGATGAGCCCTCGCTCGTAGGTGTCGAACGCGTTGATACGCTCAACCTGCTCAGCCGGCGTCGCCGCCGCCAAGCTACGCAGGGCATCTGTCCCAAAGATGCCTACCATCTTACAAACGGACTCGTACTGCGAGTCGTTCAGATGGGGAAACTCCGTACGATCCATCTTGGCTCACTCGATGAGACCACAGAGGATTCAGGTAGTCCAATCTACCCGCGTAGGCGTAGGATTGACTACAAGTGCTACCAAGTGTGAGCACTTCTTAACAGAGGAAGCAGGAGTATACAAACTCCAAGTGAACAGCCGTTCACGTGTCCCTGGTCTGAAGGGGACGACTTGACTTGAAAAGCGGTAGATCTAAGACTGAATGTATTTATAGGTTGGTACAGATTTGGCCTGCATACAAATCCTAAGTTCCCTATAGTTTGTGTCATACAAAATGTATCTGTTGGCTCTGAGGCCACTTGGGTCACTATCCAGGGGAGTGACCGATGTAGCCATCCCGGAATAGTGGCAGGGTCACTATTCCATGTAACCCCGTTACAAGATTAGCAGGCCCCTCGTAGGGAATTAGGACCAAGAATTGCTAGTCCGATGGAAGCACTTGCGTAGGTCCTACAAACAGCCGAAAGCCCGAATGTCGCCGATTCTCACGGCATTCGGGGTTTGAGGTCTTACGAAGGACTCCTGTCAAGTCTTGTGGCAGGACTTTCATACGAGCTGACTCTAATACGGTGTATGTCAGACGCAGAATAAACCTAGGTAAGCACGATGCGGTCGATACATTAAACAACCAAGTCTTCTCCCTTCGCCTTCGTGGGTTCCATCACTGATTGCTTCCCCAAACAAAGCTTGCTTGGCTTGGACGTCCATTGAACGGAGAGCCTCCGGGAGACCGCTCATCGGACTCGTCCGAGATTTGCATCTCAGATTTAGAGACCCCCAACCTCAGATTAACTGACCTCCAAAGTCCTACGTAGGACTCGGCAAAATGACCGAAAGGCACAATACGTACACTAGCCATTCCCAGCAGCTTCTAAACAAATATTTATAGATGGGCCCACGCGTGGGCTCTGTGGGGAGTAAAGGTTAAAGAAAACTCAATAAAGGTTTTATGGGGTTTCGGTTGTTGGTTTAATGAGCCCTGTGCTGATCGTAGTGCTGCTATCACTACTCACGCATCAGTTAGGATCCCTCAATTCTTCGACATCCAACCGCACGTGAACGTGTCATTTAATGCGCGCAAAGCAATTGCCAGGAGTACCATATCGGAGACTTCTCCGTGTTGTGTATGCGGCCGACAGGTGCATCACTTCTGTACCGGTAGCTACAAGCTGTGTGGCAAATGCAAGCAATATCAATGTTAACGCTGCTGTTCGTCACTTTATTTGTGCTAAGAAGTCAGCCCACAAGTTCTGTAGTCGCACGTGTGCTCGCAAGGGCTTTAATGCGGTCAACAGCGACTCTTAGGAACACATTCCCAGCAGTACATCTGGGGGTCGTAGTACATCCCTCTGACTTCAGAGTAGTGAGTAAATTTGAGTTTGAATTTGATGCGGTTTAGTCGGCTACCTACAATCTAGAGTAGCGAATAATGTGCTCGGACTTTCGAGTGCATGGTTTCCTTCGAAGTTACTTCACTATACAATCTAGAAGCTAATTGCATCAGCGTAAGGTGCTGGCTGTTGCGCTGGTTTTCACTAATTGTAAAACATGCTACAACAAGTCTGAGGTTGTTTTCGGTTAGTTGACGCTTGAATTCCCTATTAACTTTTTTCACGTATGCAAATTAGTTTTTTTCGCATACAAACTCGCGCTGTACTCCCCTCCTGTTCCTTCCGGGGGTTTCCGCAGATAACTAGAAGTCTCCTCTGAAATTACTCAGAAGTCATCAAACTTTACTAGAAATCAAGTAACACAACCGCTTGAGTATCGTGATAAAGCGAGACACCGACAGCAATATTCAGACGAAGAAGAGTGCGATAAGTATTATACTGGGAACACTCGATGAATGAGGGGGTGAATATCCCCAACGGTTTAATTGCGTACCGTTACTCGACATGCCGCTACACTACCGTGCCAAAAGTATGTCGACCCAGTAGCCTCGAAGGCAATTTTCAGTTATCGGCAGGAAGTGCATAGCACATGTCGCTATTCATAACTCCATCCAGCAAGCCGCGAGGCCTCTGCACGGCTACACCTGTGCATGTTGCAGTTTGCCCTTGCCACATCAATTACCATCAGTACCAGTACTGATGCAGCACACCACAGGTGCTCCCAGCCAAGTTTGAGTAGCTTTGAGGAAACATTTACGTGTGCTGTTGATTCGCGGGCGCTCGATGGCAAGCGTGTGTTCAGCCAGTTCTATTGAGAAGGGTCCTTTAAGGACAAGTACGGACAGCGTCTACAGTGGTAGCTCGTACACACTATGGGCAACGAACTTCCACAGCGGTAGCTCGTACCTCCCGCGTATGGAGGCCAGTAGGTGCTAGATATGCTGGTAGCTCGATCGGACAATGTAAACGATGTCTATTGACGGGGTCTCTCTCTCTCTCTGGAGAGGGCTTGGCTCGGCAAAAACTATTGTGTGGATACTATCTAGCGGTCGAGTTACGCATCATCGTCGGCGTCGGCGTCTGGCTCCTGCGGTTTCCGGCACACGCGCTTGACGAACTCGTAGGACGTGACCATGAGGATACCCGACGGCCCCATCGCCAGCAGCCGCTGCAACAAATCCACGACAAGCAACAACATGAGTTAGTTAGTCAGTCGCTCCTACTTCAACTACGCAGCAGCAGCCAGCAGCAATAGCAACGTACCGCAGAGAGGCCCGTCATGAGGCCCATCGGCCCTTCGGTCTTTAAAATATACTTGAGGGTGTCCATGGCGCCGTACTGCGTATATACCTGCGCCTTTGTCCGCACAATGTCCATGGGGTTGGTCAGCACGCCCGTGATGATGCCGGCGCTCGCGCCGCTCAGGCCCTGCGCCACCACTTGCTTCCAGAAGGGGTCCGTCTCCCACTTCCTCATCAATCTATAGTACACGGGCACGAGCAGGCCGTAGGAGCCCCACCAGATGGAGGACGACGGCGCGTACGTGGCGATGGACGGCACGTATCCCCGGTAGAAGCCGCGCAGGCCCTCGGTGCGGAAGACCTGCTTGGTGACGGCCAGGAAGCCCTTGGCGCGCTCGCGCGTCTTGCGCACGTCCTGGCCCTGGCCGCTGAGCATCATGCGCTGCGACACGATGTCCAGCGGCACCACGACCGTCTGCGAGACGAGCGACGCGCAGGCGCCGCCCGCGAAGTTGGCCCACTTGTCCCCGGCCGTCGTGTGGTCCCTGAAGACCTTGCGCGACTTCTCGTAGACCGAGATGTAGAGGTTGCCCGTGAGCACGTTGGCCGTGCTGGCCCCGAAGCCCTTGTACAGCCCGCGCGCGCCCTCCTGGCGCAGGATGGTGGCGAACGCGTTGGCCGTGCCCGAGTAGAGCGGCTTGTGCTTGGACTGCACCTGCAGCCGCGTCTTGACCAGGTTGCTCGGGTACACGGCGGCGCGCACGGCCAGGAACATGGTGGGGCCCACCACGTAGTACTTGAGCTTGTCGATCTCGTCCCACGAGATGTCCTCCAGCGCGTACTCGTCCTCGGACAGCGTGGCCACTCCGCTCATGGCCGGCCGCGATGCTAGCTATGCTATGCGTGCGTAAGCGGAAGCGGACGTGTGCCCGCCGCAAACGCAAGTCGCCACTGACGCGCCAGAAAAGGGTGTTAAACGGAGGGGTTGCACAATGAGGGGAGATCGGTTGCATGATGAGGGGGAGTTGAAGTGGGTTTCCCGGCTCACGTGGGCGAATATGATCGCCACGTCGGGAAGACAGAAGACAAGGAGTTGGAGGTCTAAGCACTAGAACGCACTGAAGTAGAATGCTCAACACGTCACTGTTTGTTTCGTGGCTCGCTAGCCCAACGCTACCGAGGGAAGAATGCAGAAAGAGGAGAGGCCGCTGCTGGCTCCTTGGTGAGTCCTCGTCAAAGCTTTAGCAGGCACGAGCCGAGGTAGGGGCGGCAGTCGTAGCACTCGGGGCCTTCGTCGGTGACGTACTGGAGCCAGCAGTCGAGTTGGACGATTTAGGCGCCGTCGCCGTCGGGGTGGCAGCCGTCGCAGTCGGCGTAGCGGTCGTCGCAGTTGGCGCTGCGGTCGTAACAGAGGGCGAGCTGGTCGACAGCGACGAGCACTTGGACGAGAAGCCGTTCGCCAGCTCGTGCACGTTCACGTTGAGGCCGCTCGTCGGTACCGACATGGTACAGTCGGGCGGGTTGAGCGAGATGATGGACTTGATCAGCGACTGGCAGTTCGTCGACGCGCACATTTTGACGTACTCGTCGTTTGAGGGTAGCGAGGTTGAGTACATGAGGCTGTAGCCAGAGTCGGTCGCGCACCCCTGGAAGGGGCTGAGCGACAACACGCTGGCGAGCGTCACGTATGCGGATTTCTGCTGCGTGGACGAGCACGTGTCGGCAGTGACAGAGCCAGCGAAGGTGACAGCGGCAAGAGCGAGGATGGTGTGCGCGTTCATAGCAGCAGGTGCGTTAGCGGCTTGGGAAGAAAGTGGTTTGCGTGAAGGTGTGCAAATTAGGGAATGAGGACCAACACGGTTTACACAAGTCCTGAGCTGAAAGGCTTGTCAGCTTGCCACTACATCTTCATATATCGAATAGCGTTTCATGGAAATGAGTGCATCGATGATTGATGGCACTACTATCGATTACAGGGCAGAGTTACTTTTGTAAAAGGGTCCTGTAATCGCTCCCGAAGTAGTGTGTAGGAGTCGGGCATTCGGACACTGCAACGAACAGACGTACATGTACACGGTCATGTCAGTGAACAGTGAGAATCAGAAGTTATGTATCTTGGACCAAGATACATAACCAAGATTCTTGGTACCTCCTCCCGTCCCCGCCTTAAGTGTTGGGGTGAGAATAGGAACTTTCTTATATAGCTGTAGCATTGCACCTCCCTCCAGTAGTCTTCCATTTAGTGCCCGTGACTAAGTAGCTTCAGCTGTTAACTTGGTGATGGGGTGCCACGTTGCTTCAATATTTTTTTTTCTCACTGCACGATGAAATTCTTGCCTCTTTTCTCGTTGGCGAGAAGCACGACGTCAGTGCAGCGCCTTTAGTAGCGAGCGAGCAGTTTCGACTACACGCTAGATCAGCATTCGATTAGAGGACGATGAGGTTGTCTTTGTTCAATGTAATGTAATCGCTAGGTGCAGGGATAGCTATGCATTGTGAATCCTTTTGCATGGTGCGCTCAGTGGGCCCCATGGATCCATCTGATGCAACTCGTCTTTGAAAACTGGTTGACTTACTCCGTACTCTTGTTGCGGCATGCTATGGGCCATAGCCTATGGCCACTCAGTTGATAGAAAATGCCCTCCATAGCTTTTCAGACTTGCGATTTTCGAAACTAGTTCGTAAAGGCAAGTAAATTAGGCTGGAGACGGCAAGTCCTTTGGAGAAGCTACTACACAAAACGTGAAAGCGTCACTTAGTTGGCAGTGCCAATTAATTCAGCAGCACCCAGAAGAGGTTGGATTGGTGGAATCAGCGGTCTTTTTAAATTCGAAGAAAACCGTGCGCAAATTATTCCGCATCTAGCAAGTCAACTTTGGATTCCTCACGTCGATAACTCGCCGAACAGCTAACCCATTTACGTAAAGGTACCTAGTAAATCGAGATGTTCGTTAAGGAAGCGGTTATCAATTTTGTCTTCTTCTACAGGTGAGGCTTAGAGCAGTCAACAAAAGCAACAAATGAACTTGAATTTCCATCACACTCCTCAACCATGCCCACTTCTTGCCTTGATTAAAAAAAAAGCGATTGATAGGCTACTATGGTACACAGCTCCGATTCTTGCTCCTACAATTGAGACGGGCACGCAAGATACAAGATACAGAAGTCCTGATTCTCACCGTTTATTGACGTTATCGTGTGCGTCTGTTCGTTGCAGTCCGACACGCTACCGGATCCGCTACACTGGGAACGATTACAGGACTCATCAGCACGAGGTACTCTGTCCTGTAATCGATAACAGTTCCATCGATGATGCATGCATTTCCATGAAGCCCTACTTGCACCACAGTACATGATCATGTAGTGGTGTACATGTAGTGGCAAGCCTTTCGAGTCGAAACGTACCTGGGTAAGCTGCGTTCACTCCTCACTCAACAATTTGCACAGTTCCACACAAACTACTTTCCTCACAACCCGCCAACGAACCGACTGCCATGCAGACCATCCTCACTCTTGCCGCCGTCGCTCTTGTCGGCTCGACTGAGGCCTCCGGTTCGTCCAGCGGCAACACGTGCACCACGAACCAGCAGACCTCTGGATTCGTCTCGCTCGCCGGCCCCTTGTCGCTCACTTCCTTCAGCACGAGCTCAACTACGATCGTGGTCCCAACCGTGACGACTGCTACGCCGACTGCGACGACTGCTGCCGCAACGTCCAAATCGGCTGCTGGCTCGAGTACGTCGACGACGAAGACCCCGACTGCTACCCCGAAGGCATCATCAGCCTCGTCGGAGCGGCTGCCCCCCCTGTCCACGTCGCCTTGCTCGCGTACTTGCTTCAATCCGTTTGAACGACCCAATTCTCGTGGTCTAAGAAGCATACATAGCTGCAATAACACCTCGTTATTAACACTAGGTTTTGAGACTACAACTCGTCACCTTGTGCTTGATCTTACGCTGCATGCCGCGAGATATCTAGCCATCTACTCAATGCAACATGTATAATAGTTCGAGGAGGAAGCTTCGCTCACGCTCCGATGGGCAGACGTACATCGGAGCGTGAGCGAACACCAACGAGACGTGGTGCGAGTTGAAGTTGGCGTAACTGGGTTACACCACTTGGTTACGCAGAAGATACCCTCATCAACGATGGACGCCGTGGAGCTGGAGGTGAGCGACGAGGAGCTGCTGGGCGGGTGGAAGCCGCGCCTGGGCGCGCTGTCCGTGGGGGAGAAGGTGGAGGAGGCGGAGCTGCTGAAGCGGCAGGGCAACCTGCTGGCCAAGCAGGGCGAGTTCAAGCGCGCGCTGACGTCGTACGCCAAGGTGTTCGCCTACGTGAACGGGCTGTCGGTCGCGGGAGACGCCATGTCGCAGTACGCGCAGGGCGCGGCGGGCATGACGGCCTCGCAGGAGCAGGGCGCGCAGATCCAGGCCGTCAAGGTGGCCGCGTGGTCCAACATGGCGCTGTGCCACCTCAAGCTCGGCGCGCAGCCCGAGCGGGCGCTGGACTGCTGCGACAAGGTGCTGGCGCTGGAGCCGCAGCACAGCAAGGCGCGCTTCCGCAAGGCGCAGGCCATGGCGCAGCTGACGCACTACGAGCGCGCGTACAAGATGCTGAGCGAGCTGCTGGAGGAGGAGCCCAAGAACGCGGCGGTGAGGAACGAGATCCGCGCCCTGCAGGTCAAGAAGCGCGCGTACGACGCGGACGCCCGGGCCAAGGAGAAGAGCGCGTTCGGCAACATGTTCAAGTAGATGGAGGAGGAGAAGGAGGAAGTGGACGAGCTGCAGCGTCAATGGCAGGTGCTTTATGGTTAGATACGCTGTTGTGTGGCTCTCTTTGTGCTTGCTGTATGTTGCTGCTGCTGGAGATTCTAGGACCGGAAGAGGTGCGGCAGCACGCGGGCCTTGATGGCCTCCATGAACTGGACGTAGCTGTGGCCGAAGTGGTTCTCCACGCGCGGAAGCACGAGGTCCGACACCTCCACATTGATGCAGCTGGCGGTGGCCGCTGCAGCGAAAGCGACGGCCTGGCAGCCTGCAGCCGCCGGGCCGTTCGGGCCTGGAAGCTGCAGCGCCCAGAAGAGCTTGGACAACACGCCGTCACGGACCGAGTACACGTTAACGAACTTGCCTCCGTTCGGGTCGAGAGCGTGTGAAATGCTGTCCAGCCCCTGCGCGTCGGGGATGAACGCGCCGGCAAAGCTCACGGCATTGGCGATCAGCCGCAGGCCGTCGCCTTGCTTGTGCTCCCGCAGCTTGGCCATCTCCTGGAAGGTGCTGTAGATGACGGCGCCGCCCAGGGAGTGGCCGAACAGCGAGACCTTCCGTCCGCGCAGCAGCGCTGGCCGCTCGGCCAGCACGTGCGCGAGCAGCACGCCCACCTGCTCCGCCTTGCCCTGTGCGCTGTGCCATGGGTTGCCAGTGAAGTGCGCGACCATGGCCGACACGGATGCGCTGCCGAGGTTGTCGTTCACGTGCGTGCAGAACTCGTTCCAGGCGGCCGCGTCGCCGGCCTCCCACTGCACGGCGAAGACGGCGGCGTGCTCGTCGCCCTGCGTCCACGCACGCCAGTTGCGCGTCGGGTCGTCGCTCTGCGTCATGAAGCCGTTGATGCAGAGCACGACGTGGCTGCAGGTGGCCACGTCGCCGCCCAGCAGCTTGAGCTGCAGCTGCTGCACGCGGCGCTTGCGCTTGGCCACGTTGAGGGTGGCCATGGCGCCGTCGTACGCGCTGGCCCAGACCGTCGGCGCCTTGGCGGTGGCCGTCGGGGCCGGGGTCGGCCGCAGCCAGGCGTTCAACGCGCCCAACGCGCCGCCCACGGCCACGGCGGCCAGCTCCGAGTTGCCCAGCGACTCCTGCTCCTGCTGGTTGCACTGCTGTCGCACGCGCTCCACGATGGCGTCCGCTTCCTGCACGAGCAGTGCCGACACGCGCTCGCGCACGGCATCCGGCGCGGACGCGGCGCAGCCCAGAGACGACTCGAGCTCCTGCAGCTGCTGCGCGGACAGGAGCCCGCGGCGCTGCAGCTCGCGGCAGTCGGCCAGCAGGTCGGGCATCGATGGAATCGGCTATTGAGGTGTGTGGTACACACCCACTTCAACGACGTTGAAGTGGTTACGCCTCTTCGACGGAATGGCCCACTTCCCGACTCGCTGCGACTGCGGCCTTGGCCATGACGACGCCCGCGGCCATCGAGCGTCTGCCCGACCACGTGCTCTCGGCGCACGTGTGCAGCTTCGTGCACCTGCAGGACCGCTGGCACGGACTCGCGCGGGTCTCCAGGCGCTGGCGCCGCCTCACGCTCGCGTCAGTGCGCCGTGAGCAGCACGTGGACCTGGTAAGGTCTCTATGCGCTGTGTTGGTACTATACCGGTAGCTATCGACTCACCCTGTTACTTTCTGTGCCTGCAGACGTGGTGCACAGGCAAGCACGAGCTGGAGGCGGCCGCGGCCGTGCTGCTCGACCGACAGCCGCGACGCAGCAGAAGCGGCCGGAACTTGTCCGTGGAGACCTCGCAGCTCCAGAGCGTGGCGCTGTACGGCCCGCGAGTCACGTCGCCGCTGCTGTCGCACCTGGTCAAGGGCCTCGGCTCCCAGCAGCTGCGGCACGTGGACGTCGAGTCCAAGCAGATCTCGGACACGGCGCTGGAGCAGCTCTGTCGCTGCGTGAGTCTACAGACGCTGGCGCTGCACTGCATCAAGCTCACGGACGAGTCGCTGGTGGCCATCTCGCGCGCGTGTCCAAAGCTCACCAAGGTCGATGTGTCCGGCTGCTCGCGCGTGCGGGACGACGGCATCGTCGCCATCGTAGCCAACTGCCCCAATCTAGAGAAGGTCGACCTCACCATGTGCCGGCGCATTACCGACAGGTCCGTCGTGGCGTTGGCTCAGCACGCGTCGCTAACGCTGAAGGAGGTTGTGCTGGATCGCTGTCTGAAGGTTTCCGGGCCCGCCCTTCGCTTCCTCATGAGAATGCAGCCCAATCTCCGGTCGTTGTCGTTCGCGCGCTGTCCGAAGGTGCAGGGCGCCGACTTTTACGACTTCATTCAGATCGCCCACAAGAAGTCGATCAGATCCGTGTGTGAGCTCACAGCGCTGGACTTGAGTGGGTGTGCAGGTCTGGATGATCGTGGCGTGGCCGAACTGATCGCCGTCAACCGACAAACCTTACGCTCACTGAACCTTGGGGCACTACAGACGCTGGGGAGCGCCACATTTGCAGCCATCGCCAAGTGTAGTGAACTCGAGTCTCTCAATCTCTCGCTGTGCAGGACATTGCAGAACAGCGACCTGGTGGCCATCACGACTGGGTGCACACAGCTTTCGACCTTGTTACTGCAGGGCTGCGTAGCTCTTGACGACGTCGGTCTCAAGGCGATGGCCCCGCGCGCAACAAACCTGCAGCGACTGTCGTTTGAGTTCTGCTACAACATCACGGACGAGGGCTTCGCAGCCGTCGTCTCGCGCTGTCAGCAGTTGCTGCACCTCAACATCAAGGCGTGCAACCAGCTCACAATCGACGCCTTCCGTGCGTTGGCGCGTCGCAAGACCCCGCTGGAAACGCTGTACATCGGCGCGTGCGCCGACATGGAGACCACGGCGGCGTACTTCTCCACCGTCAAGCACAAGTTCCCTCGGTGCCGAATCCACTGGGTCTGAGTTGATGTCGTAGAGGCTCTGTGTAGAGTAACAAACGATGCATATTACTACCTTATCCAAAGTGCAATGTGAAACTTGAGCATAAGACACCATGGCCGACAGCTATAAGCGGCGAGGTGTGCCTCCCTCGTCATCTTTATTTATCGGGAGCAACGAAGGCGTTTTGTTCTGGCGCCGGCACTTCGAGAAAAGAGCGTGGGCGAGTGCAGTGAGCAGCACGAGCGAGACGTGGAGCGTTAATAGCTGCGGTTCAAGTCGTTAGCCAAGCCATGTCGGGCCGCATCCCCAACGTCAGCACGCGGATCGTGCCGAAGAACATCGCGCTCCCCGAGACCGGCAGTTGCTTCGACACGACTGCGGTGATCCCCAAGGTAGGAGATTCTACCACCGTTATGAGGTTTCGAGCTCGTGTTTTGACGTAGTTTGTGCTACAGCGACGCACGCACGAGAAGGTGAACGACGCGGAGCACATCAGCGCCTTCTCCTTGTCGAAGCCGTCGAAGCCACACACCACCGACTCGTTCCTTCGCAAGGGCCAAGGAACAGGAGGGACGGTCGATCTGGAGAAAACGCTCAAGGTCGGTAGCGATGGTGACGTCTCGGTATGAATGCTGCAAGCTCACCTGCTTTATGTCGTTGGCCTTACTCCAGGGAGACAAACATGAAGGCGGTTCTCCTCGCTCGCGGCACCAGCAACCGGTAGCATTTAGGGAACGCTCCAACCCGCCGGACACTTCGTTCAGAAGGTGAAACGCAGGACTAATGTCGTTAGGTACTACCGAAAGTGGTTCTGACATTGTGGTTGAATTGCAGGTTCTACGAGCGCGGTGACCTACCGATTCAGATTGACCACGGCGGCGTGCGCAACATGGTCGCATGGAAAGTGGACATCACGAAGGTAAGACGCAAATATGGTTTGGAAAGGCATCTTCAAAGCTAACTGGGTGGGCTGTGCAGCTCGATTTCCACCACTACCTTCCGATTTTCTTCGATGGACTGCGCGAGGTGGAGGAGCCCTACGCGTTCCTGTCGGAGCAAGGCATCAAGGACATGCTCATCAACGCCAGCAACAAAGTGCTGCCTGTGATCCCGCAGCTTATCATCCCCATCAAAAGTGCGTTATGATGTAGACTTTGACACGCCTGGCAACCTCTTTCGATCTCACACGTTACTTTGTTTTGTTGCTAGACGCTCTCAACACGCGCAACGCCGGCATCATCGTCAAGACGCTGCACATTCTACAGCTCATGGTGACCTGCGAGGCCGCGGCACAGCCAGGTAGCGGCCCGGGACTCATCGGCCAGGCACTTGTGCCGTACTACCGGCAGATTCTCCCCGTACTCAACATTTTCATTCGCAAGAACGGTAAGCTCTCGAGTGCCTTCTACTATGGGGGCCTGAGCTATGACTGACTGACTTGGCATCAACTATACAGACAACATTGGTGACGCTATCGACTACGGCCAGCGCAAGCAGCTGAATATGGGCGACCTCATCCAGCAGACGCTCGAGATCATGGAGTCACACGGCGGCGACGATGCCTTCATCAACATCAAGTACCTCGTCCCCACCTACCAGAGCGTGTGCGTCGGATAGCTCGCCACCTGAGATCTTTGACACCAAACCAAGACCAAGACGAGCGTTAAGAGCGTGGAAGGTAGTTGATAACAATCAAAGTTCCCATTAAAATCCATGACAGTCCAACAACTAGCATCTTACGGCATTTTCTCGGTCAGAGCGAGCACGCTAAGTCTACAATCAATGGAACGTATTACAATGTTGCTACAGTTTTGTTAGAGTAAACTACTTCTTGTACTGGACGCCGCTGCTGACTTTGGGCGAGACTTTGCTCGTGGAGGCTCTCGTCTGCCTCTCAATGACTGTGTATTGCTACTATTCCGCTCTGCTGGCTCTGATGTCTGCGTCGGCAGCAACAACTTGCGTCCATCCAGCTCAGTGGCGACATCATTCGTCTCTGGACCCTCCTGGTTCTGACTCCGAGTCGTCTCCACTCGACTTGAGCCTGAACTTCGTGCTGTTCCATTCCACTTCGCGCCGAGCTCTTCATACCGTCGAAGCCTCCGCTCGAGCTCCTTGTTGGTCTTCCGATACGTGTTCAGCTCCGTCACCAGCGACGCGTTCTGGTAAGACAGCGCTGCTGCGAGCTTGTGCTTCTTTAGGTTACCAGCTTCAACCTGTCGGCGCAGCGAGTGTTTGTTCTGCAGCAGGAAGCGGTTCTGGCGATGCAGCTCGGCGTTCACCTCGTCCGCGGAGTCTCCGCGCGCTTGGAGCGCGTCCAGTTGGCGCGTCATGCGCTTATGCAGTCGACCGATCTCCGTCACGAGGGTGCTCTTCTCCTGCACTGCGCTGTGTCGGACGAGCTCCCCAAGCTCCTCTTGCAGCACCACAATCGAGTGTCGGACGTGCTCCAGACGCTTGAGCGCCGTCTCCAGGTCGCGCGCGTGTTTCCTGGCGAGTGACGACGTCTCCACCCTCAGACGATCGCTGATGTTGGCCTGAAGTACAACTTCCTGGTTGGCGTCGTGCAGCTGATTGAGGTGCTCCTGCATGTGAGCCAACTCGCGGTCTTTGGGTAGAATGTGTTTCTGCAGGAGCTCGAGCTGCGAGCGATGCACGCCGTCTAAGCGCTGCAGGTTCTCGAACAACCTCCGCTGCTCCGCGAGCTGCGCGGCAGTCTCATCCTTCTCGCGCATGACTCGCTTGGTGAGCGCTCTCTCGTCCGCCAGCTTCTGGCGTAGCATCTCGATCTCGTGCACACGCTCGTTGTAGTCGCCGCACATTTGCTGCAGCTCGCCGTCCTTCTGGTTCAGAGCGCTGAGCAGCATCTTCACCTCTTGATTCAACGCGGCGGCCTTCCCGTGCTGCTCAGCGAGCTGTGTGGCCTCCTTCTGCTTCTCGCAGTCGATGGACGCAGCCAGCAACCCCATCTGAACGAGCTGGTCTTGGTCCTGTTGGCGCAGCACTTCTTGCAGCTTCCTCTTCGTCATCTTCAGCTCGTCGGCCAGCTTCATCTGCGCTGCGTCGTACTGCGCCTTGGCCTCTCGGAGCTTCCTCCTGCCGTCGTACTCGAGCTGCACGTCGCGCTCTTGAGCGCGCTGCTGCTCGTCTTCCAAATTCAGCTTGGCGGCATGAAGCTGCTCGCGGAGCGAGTCGCGCTCCGTTTGAAGCTTCTCTAGTGTCACCAAGTAATGGTCCTGGGCCGAGCGCGCATCCTCGGACAACGAGCGCAGCTTCTCCTCCCGCTCGTGGATGGCGCCACCCAGTCGAGTGCCAAGCTCTGCTCGGAGCTCCTTCTGTTTCTCTTCAGCCGTCCGAGCTTGGGCTGCTAGTTGGCCCTGGAGCGTGTTCTCGAAGCGAGTTCGCTGCTCACCTACCTGTCGAGTGAGCATCTCGTTCTCCATCTTGAACTGCTGCAGCTCGCTGTCCAGGTCCAGCAGCTTCAGTCGAGTGAGCTCCACCTTGTTGCGGTCGTACACGGCCAGCTCCTCCGGTTGACAGATGCCTGTGAAGGAGTTGATGAACAAGTCGTGGAGGTTCTGGTCGTCTCGGATGGCGGTCGTCAAGGCCGAGGAGCTCTCTCCATCCCCAAAACTCTCGCGACACAGTTTACTCGCCAAGACGACGCCATTCCTCGCGTTGGAGAGCAGCAAGCGCGACCGAGACGCGTAGAACAACCCCACGACTGGAGCTGTGTGCAGGTCCACGCGCTTAACCGCTTGCGTTAGGAGAATGGTCGAGTGACTCTCGCTCCTTCGAGGCCCGCGCTTCCAACTGAACAGCACCACTGAGCCGCTCGATGTGCCAATGAACAGCAGATTCGAGTACACGGTGCCATCACCAGCCGTGCTAGCGCCCAAGCCCGGTCCAGTCTCAAGAGAGGTGACCTCGAACGGCATGTTCTCGCCAACACCCAACCCATTGGCGCTGTGAAGAGCGTCGAATGCTAGTTCCCCATTCAGCCACGCTCGGATGACACAGTGACTACTGCTGCTTCGCTTGTTCAAGCCTGTAACAGCACGCCTTTCGGCCACGAAGACTGCGTAGTCGTGGCTCTCTCGGTCCATGTAGCTTGTAGCGAACGCCACGACGGCATTGCCCGGCGCAAGTGTCTGGGCCACGCCGTGTGATACGATCAGGTCCTCGACTTCTCCTCCGGATTGCCAGCGCAATTGACAGTGACGCAGCTCCCCAGCCGCATCAACCGCGAAGAAGCTGCTGTCGTGAACCGCCCAGCGGAAGACCTCAACCGTGTCGCGGAACTCTCGAAAGACGCCAACGAGCTGCGGTTCCCGCTGCACGCGCGATAGACTTCGATACACGAACACAGCCTTGTTGGTAGCGTGCACGGCTGCGAACAACGCGCCACTGGGACTGTACTGCGCGAGCGAGAGCTGCTTCTGCGGCATCTCGAAGGCCAAACGCAGCGAGTCGTGCAGCACGAAGAAGATCTGGAGCTTGGACGAGAACGTGACGAGCAACTCGGAGCCCGCTGGGTGAATGTCGATACTCAGCGGCGTCTGCTGCTCCAGCGCGTGCGAGATGAAGCACTCGTGGCAGTCCATTTGGTTCCACACGTGCACTGCTGCGTCTCCGTCTGGAGCTCGGCAGGCCGCAGCGAAACACGGACGTCTCGAGGCTGCGCTCAGTCGTTCCATTTGTTGCGACAGCGGCGTGGACGACAAGGAGCTCAAAGCGATGGTCTCGTCGTCGCCACGAAGCAGGCACATGTTGCTGAGGTCGTACGCGCCGTAGCCGTTCTCAGTGCAGCATAGGAGCATGGCGGCCGCAGGATCCGTCGTCACGCTCACTATGCGCTCGCTAACATTGACACATCAAGTAGTTAGCACGTCACGCGTGACGCAGGAGTCTTGACTATCGTTCACGTACGTGTGGGGGACGCGCATCCGGCGCTGGAGATGCAGCTCCTTCTCGTTGGCCTTGAGCATCTTCGACGCCACTCGAATGACCGACACGAGGCCGTGGGTGCCGCCAACGACGACTCCTTCACCGCTAGCTAGCGGACTCATGCACAGCATGCGCCCCAGTCCTTTGTGAACTGCTCGAAGCGTCTGGATCAGCTCCGCGTTCACTATCAACTGCACGTCACCGTCTTCAAGCAGTCCGACGAGCACATCGTCGGGCAGCCACGCGTGATCCGCGTAGCTCACGACGTTCTTGACCCTCGTCTCGTCGCCAGACTTGAAGCTCGCCAGCGGCTTGAGTGTGTACTCGCAGAGCGTCCAGATCCGCAGCAGACTGCCCCCACTCGTGGACAATTGGGCCATGTCGATGACGTTGAAGCGCACGCGAGACACCCGACAGTGCACGTCCGAGAGCGCGATCTGGCGGCCGCGCCCCCAGTCCCACACGCCCAAGCTCCAGCTCGCGTTCGCAGCCTGCGCGCTCACCAACTTCCCGTCGGGGGACAAGGCGGTGCCCACGAACTTGTCCGTCCAAGTCACGGTCAGCGTCTTGAGCAATGAAATGCGGCGCGTGGCTCCAGTCTTGCCGGTGGTGGTCGATGCTTCAAGCTTGTCGCTCTTGGAGCTGCTGACGTTGTAGACGGAGATGGAGGCTGGCGAGCTGGAGCTTGAATTGGAGTTTGAGTTGTCTGCGCCTCCATCGTCGGCTTTCACTGCCGCTCGACAGACCGAGAGGTGGCGGCGCTTCCCACACAAGGCCATGGCTGTGATCTCGCCCAGAGCTTGCTCCTGGCCCGTCACGAAGCTCAGCTCCTGTGTCTGCGTGTTGTGCAGCACGACGTACTTGCCGATGACCAGCACCAGCTCGTACCGGCTCAAGGGCAGGATCACGTCTCGGAACGACGTGTCCAGCCCATTCCCATTCACCGGCACGAGCGTCGGCGGTGCTGGTGGGACCCCCTCACCCGAGAGAGCAACAGCATCACGCATGACTGATAATACTCAAGACAGAGCTCCAGTCGCCCATGTATGTGCGTCGTCAACTAGCTCAGCCCCCTATAAATATGGGCGCACTGGTGCTCCGTCCCATCGATCGATCACCTCCCTGGCTGGCCACAACTCGACACGAATGGCGAGCGCCACGAACAAGGCGATGCCTCCTCTTCACTCAACGATCCGATCGCGGCTCCACACGCTCAAACAGCAGTTCCACGAGGTCTGCGGCGATGGCCACGAGAGGGGGAAGTCTTCCAAGTCAACCACTGCACCACCTCACCCTCTGCAAGAATTCTTCTCGAGCGTGCAGCTCTGGAAGGAACGCTCACTGCATCACACCCTGGAGGCGCTGGACAGAGCAGGCTCGCCATCGGCGGACAGCCACATGGAGGCGATCGAAGATCACGAGAAGGGTGCCAAGCACCTCTTTGACTTGACGCGAGTGTTCCTCGACCGAACGTGGCACAGCACGAACGCTCTGCTTGACGCCTTCGCGGATGATCTGGCTGGTTTAGTGGACGACATCGTCGCGTCCAGACTGGAAGAGCAGCGCTTGGTGCACGAACGTGCCCTTAAAAGTCTGAAGGAGGAGAACCAGCGTCTGACTGAGGCGTGGCAGGAGCTGAAAGGCGTGAACGGAGGCCTCGAAGCTCGACTGGAAGTGATCGAGAACACGCCGAACGCTGGGGGCGACGCCATTCTCTGCAACAAGCTACGCAGCAGACTGCAGAGCCTTGTGGTCAAGCAGCACCAGCTCTCGGTGGAGCTCGAAGACGCTGCTCAGGAGAGAGTGAGCCATCGACGAGAGCTGGAGAAGACCAAGACACTACTGACCGACGCGCAGAAGGGCTTGGCACTGACACGAGCCATGCATGACAAGGAGACCAGGCAGCTAGCGGCAATGATTCAGCTCAGCCACGCGCAAGTTCATCAGGTCTTGGAGGCGTCACGAAAGGCGAGTGCGAATGTGGCAGATACCAAACACCAGCAACAACTCGAGAGGTTTGACCCGCTGTCCGGATGCATGATCGTGCACTTGGCCCCCCTTGCAGCGCCACAGACGCCTCAAAAGCCTCAAGGCTCTCCATCCAGCACTTCTCCTCGACAAGCAAGCTCCCCCGTCCTCGCACCGTCCTCAAGTAATCCACGACAACGGCTTGAACGACCCAAGTCTGCGACTCCAGCGGGGAGACGACGGGTTTCAAGCGCTACTTCGAGTGGGGACAAGACTCCACCTCCTTCTTCATCAGCTAAACTCTTTCGACCTTCACACAAGTAGACGCATGGATTATTCTCCTGGCTAGACCATGGGCAAGAAGCTTCCCGGTTTCTCGTCTTCTGTGCTCGTTGGTTCCTCCTGCAGCTGCGGGTAGTCCGCGACTTTCTTCTTGGCCTCGGACAGAAAGTCTGCGTGCCTACGCAGCTCCGTGCAGCTCGTCACAGGCCTTAGCTTTGAATTCTTTGGTAATGGCAGCGCGTACTTCCTGTAGAGACTGTAGTTGAGCGTTCCGTCCGAGCCTGGCGGTGGATCAAGCGGCAGCGGCGCCGTGGAAATCGGTCGAGCGAGTGTTGTAGTGGCATAACGAGCCTGCCGATCTCTGTCGCGCTTGAGATTCTGCCACTTCTCGCTCCGAGACGACGCGAACGCGCGCACGGTGGACACGAACTCCTCCTGGAAGACCTCCGCGTCCACCACAGGAGCTCGGAATCCAACCGCGCGGTACTGGTTCCCCACGCGTTGTTGGCGCGTCTTCCGCTCGCGAAGCTTCTGCTGCTCCTCCAAGTATACGCGCTCACCATACTCACGGGCCGCAAGCGAGAATATTTTCTTGGGCGTGGCCCTCGCCACCTGCAGCAGTTGCTGCACTTCCTCGGGCTTTCGCGTCTTCTTCTCTTCTCTTACTGCTACCATCTCAACAGGAGTCGTGTTGGGCCGACGACCGCCCTGGACGCGGTTGTTGGAGGCCATGGCTTGGGCCGCGTGCTTCTGCTTGCGGTGCTCGCGCTTCATGTCGAAAATGTGCTCGGCCAGGTCCGTCTTGAGCTTCATGAGCTCGTCTTCGGCCGCTCCAAGGCGCTCGGTCGTCACCAGCAGCTCAGCTAGTGCTGCTAGTTGCGCGCGGTGGAACTGGTCGCGCTCGGCGAACGCGAAGTTGCGCTGCGAGTCCGACATGGCGGCGGCCACCTCGGCCCGCTGCCAGTTGTGCGCGGCCAGCTCCTGCTGCTTGACGCTGGCCTGCATTTGGGCCAGCACCTCGTCTCGATGCGCCTTCAACGCCGCCATGTCTTGCATGGCCCGCTCCTTGGCCCTCACGGCGTTGGCCAGCGCCACCCGAGACTCGTTCAGCTGCTCTGTGAGACTTGCGCGCTCCTGCTCAAGCCGCTGGTTGGTCCCAACTTGACTACTCAGCTGCTGCTGCGCGCGTTGATACAGCTCCAATGTGAGGGTGTGCGCGCTCTTCTCCTCCGCTAGTTGCGTCTGTATTGACTGCAAGTCAAGGGCCATGGCATCAAGGCGACGGCGTTTGTCGTTGTTCTGAGTGTCAAGATGCTGCGCGCGCAGCGTGAGGTCTTCGAGCTCAACCTGCAGCGCTCCGAGCTTGTCCTCCCAGACGCTGCTGCCTCCGCGTAGGCGGATGACCTCGGCCACGGCCGAGTGGCCCCAATGCGTCGCGAGGTCTAAGGCGGTGTATCCGGCCGCGTTTTTCGTCTTGAGACTCGCGCCCGCCGCCAGCAGCAACTTGGTCAAGTCCATTCGCCCCCAGAAGCACGCGAGGTGCAGCAGCGTCTGGCCGCCAGCGTCGAAGTGATCGACGTCGACTCCAGGCACGGCCAACAGTTCGGCCACGCGAGCGCGGTCATTGTCGAAGATGGCGTCTCGGATGAGCTCGTAGTGAGTCTCCGAGACTGCTGAAGCCGCTGCTGGAGACATTGCAAACGCAGCGTGCGTTGGGGCATCAATGGGACTGCCAGACGAGCTCAGCACCTCATATTTTTAGGGGGGGGGGGGGTAAGGGTGATGGACATGGTGACCAGCATGCTCCAGCGAAAGATAAGATCGCAATGGAGAGCACTACAGTAGCAGAATTAATGAATCATAGACCATTGTAGGATAGTCGACGACGATATGACATGAAAGGCACCCACCCAGACAGTGTCTCTGCGTGTGGAGCCCATGTCCAGACGCATCACGTCGGTGAGTAAGCTCATTGTCTATTTCAGCTGACCCCGCTGAATTTGGCGCAAATTGTCATCGGCGACATTCTCCGTTTCGCCCAGAACAACGTAGGCCCGTAGTAATTCGCCTCACTCTCAAGTGGCGAGGCCGTCCCCGATGATGGAGGAAAGCGCCATGGGCGACTTCGCCAACCGGTGAGTGAGCGTGTAACTAGTGCAGTTGAGTGAGGTCTGAGTTGACTGAGTGGAGTATTGTAGACTGAAGCAGGAGTTCGAGGATCGAGACTCGAATGCCAGCGACGGAGACGAGTGCCAAGACTGGTTTGTGAATGACTCGCCCAAGCACGATTCGGTGGCCCCCATGGACGAGGAGCCATCTCCCAAGCGCGACGGCTCGAGGGGAGCAACAGTCCCTCCTGTAGCTGCAAGAACGACTCGCTCTGTGAGCAGTCCCACTCAAACCAAAGCTCCACCTTCCGACACGAAGACAATCACCGACGACGTTAGTTGAGATTCGTGCTCTAGATGCCACATCGTGGAATATTTTGTAGCTCACATGTTGATTGGATCCGTTGTGCCGATAGCAGGAACATGACAACTGCGACAACGTCACTGGCCCGATGGCCTTCTTGCACCACACACCTCCAACGTTCTCGATTCTCGTCATGGAACTAGCCACTGGTGTCGAGGTAAACACAAGTTCTACAAATGTTGCATTGGAAAAAAGTGTTATCTAATACTCAGACTTGTGTGTTTCTTGTGGCAGGTTCCTCGCTACGGGACCAGGTTCTTCCGGATCTACATCCCGCAGGTTCACGACAGTCAGACGGACTTTTGTCTGTTCGCTCGGAAGCGACTCAACAAGAACAAGTTCCGATTTAGGTGATGAACCCCATGCAAAAGGTATTCACTGTTGCAGCCCTACTCATAAATGTGGTTCGTGTCTGTACCTCGCAGCTTGGACGAGAGCTTCACAACTAGCTGGGCGGACTCGTGCTACGGAGGGAAAGTGCTGATGACTCCATCTGCAGACACGAAGCGATTTCGACTGCTGGCCACGAAGGCGGCGGGGCGAGTCCATTTCGACATCAAGCAGGAGGCGAGGAAACAGGAGCTCAGCGTCCGCCTAAACTCCCCGGTAGGGTTGCTACCCAATAATACATTATTGAATACGCTGATCTAACCTGCCTATGCAGGCTACAAGATTCCACTTTTTCCGAGCTCGTTCAACGCCCGTGGACAGCAAGAGTGAGGTCTATCGCTCCAACATTCAGGTGGGTCGTACGCTATTAGTACTAACCCCAAGCCTGCTAGTTGACTAATTCATGTCATTGCTGCAGAAATTCATCAATCCCATGGCAGACGTCCGCTGCTCGAAGACCAACTATACTCTCTTCAAGATGGAGAAGGAGGGCGTGAGTACATACATGGAATCGATGCTTCTTACACGATTGCTTTCTACTGACATTTTTGTGCTCTATTGGCAGGAAACTGGCATGCAGAAGTACGTCATCTCATATATGCGCCCTTTCTCGCTCTTCCTCAGGTAAGATGACTACGAAAGCTTTGTGCGTTCATGTAAATACGCAAAGCTAACTCTGGAGTATGTGAATGTTATTGTACTGGGTGTTAGCTGCTGTATCGCGGTCGGCGTTGAAGCACATCTGCTAGAGTGAAAAATAGTGCTAACAGTCAGATACCGCTGCAAAATACAGCTAAAAGCTTTTCATCGAAGTGTCTCGTTCCCTAACGCGACAGCACTGCGGGGCGCTGCTTGAGCGACTGACTCACAGTCAGCATCATCTCGATCCCTCGCAGCTCGCGCACTGCGTCCTTGACCTGTGAGTCGGCCTGGCACAACTTGGCCAGTAGAATAGCCACGTTCTTGCGAGCGAGGCCGTCGGATAGGTCCTGTAGAGCCTTCACCAGTACAGCTAGCGTGCTTTTCTTCCGGAATGCCTTGGTGTCACCTGGATCACGATCGGACTCCATGGCGATCAGCACCTTGACGACATTCCCAACGAGTCTCTCGCACGCAGTCGTCGCCCCACTCGGTCGGTGGTAGGCCTTCTGCGCGTTTGCAAGCGCTATCACTTGAGTCAACAGCGGCACGGCCTTCTTCTCGCGCAGGAAAGATCGGGCGCTCATGAGGTGGGCGCACCAGCCGAAGTGGCACCAGATCTGCGCACAAAGCTGCCAAAGCTCCTCCGGAATCGTAAACGCTTTCCCACTGAAGCTCGAGTTGGCATACTCGCACACTGTGAAGAGCTGAGAGAGAAGCTGTTGCCCCGTGAGGCGGCCAAACACTTCATCTTTCGCTGTCTCCTCTCCTCTGCAGGGAGAATGCAGGCGGCACAGGATGCTGGCAGCTCGTGATAAAATGAGGATCGAGGACGAAAAATTCGACGGGTTTGCTTGCGTGAGGATGCTCTCAACGACGTTGACCGCCTTAAACTCGAGCAAGTGAAGCGTCCGAACTTGTGAGGCTTCAGAGAACGACAGGTTCAGCAGCGCGCCGAGAGCTCGCTCACAGATAGTATAGTCCACAGAAGTTGATGGTCCTGGCTGCTCGCTGCTGTAGGTTGCCTCTGCGATTCGAAGCAGGACCTGAACGAGCTTCCGACGAGTTTCCACACAGTTGTTGCCCTCAATGGCCTTGCGGATTGTACTGTCGGTGGACAAGTTGGTCAGAAACCCCAGCAGATTTTGCAATGACCCAGCAGCGGACTTGGCGCGACGACTTGATTCGAGCGCCTGGGCGACGGCAGCGAGACAGTCACCGCTACGTCTACTAAAGGCCTGAATGCCAGCGCTGTCACTGCTCAGCGTGAAACAAATGCTGGACGCAGCCAATGTAATCGCCCTTTTCGAAGCTCTTTCGTCACGCGGCACGTTCGGTTCGTCGATGGGAAGACTCAAAGCTGCTAATAGTGATGCCAGCACCTCTTCCGATGACACCATCGCGTTCCGCCAGCTCTTCGAGTCAAAAGCCTGCTCCAGAAAGCGCGTGACGCTTGCTTGGACTAACCATGAGGTTCTTGTTGGTCTAGAAGTCGTCGTCTCCTTGCCCATAGCTCCAAACGATGCCAACATGAGCTTCCGGAAGTCCACGTGACGGAACATCACCACTTGGTTGCGCGGCGTGTCAGCCACTGCAGCTGCTGCGCAGTTGATCATCGCACTAACGATCACTTCTTCCGTTTGTAAACGAGAACTGTCGACCTCAGCTCCAGCTTCTGGTGGCTCCAAGGCACTCAAGATACGATTGCAGAGCTTGTCCATCTCGCCGGACGTTCGGAACTTCGCGCGCACGTGCTCGTTCCTCTCCACGAAGGGCAGCAGGAGGTCGTAAGCAACCCACGCGTCCTGAACCCGACTTCTTTGCCCTCCATTGTCCGCAGTTGCTTGCTCGTCCATCTTCTTGAGCAATTCCAGTGCGAACCGCAGCTCCTCGATGGAGGAGGGACCGACCGATAGCGTTGAGGGGCTAGTCTTGTGCTTGGAGTTTAACGCAGCTTCCAACTCGCTGTTGGTGATCGAGTCCTCGTAGTCCCCCACGATGATCGAGTGCTGCTCCACGACGTCCGCGTTCTCGCCGTCCAGCTCAAAGGCCTTCTTCATATCCTCGGCCGCCTCTTTCAGCTTCTCCTGCCGGTGCCACGCGGTTGCTCGTCGAGACAGCGCCTTGACGTGCTTCTCGTCCACGTACAGCGTGCGCGTGCAGAACTCGACGCAGTCGTCCAGCTGATCCAGCCGCAGGTAGCACTGCGCGATGTTGGCGAGGATGGCCACGTTGAAGGGAGAGGCCAGCAGCGCCTCCATGTAGCTCTTGATGGCGTCCTCGTACTGCTTCTTCTTGTAGAAGCGGTTGCCCTTCTGCTTCAGACCTGCACGCAGTTCAAATTGATGTTAGACGTTGGTACACATACTATTGCGTATTGCCAACTCACGCTCAGCGGTGCGCGCCTTCTCCTCCTGCGAGCGCTGACGCTCCTCCATGTCCTTCTTGAACTGGTTGCAGAACTCGGGGTTGTTCGTCTCGAACTCACGGTTGCGCAGCTTCTCGAGCTCGGCCTCCCGCTCCGCCTTCTCCTGCAGCGAGACCGGGTCCTCGGGCACCCACTGATCCCACAGCGAGTAGTCGTTGGCGTCGCGCGCCTTGTACGCGGCGATGATGCGGTTGGCCCAGCGCTCGCTCTTGCTCATGTTGGCTTCTTTCTCGTCCTCGTTCTTCTCCTCGACGTCTCGCATCGAGTAGCGCAGCTCGGCCTTGTGCCACCAGTTGTCGTGTTCCTCCTGCCTCTCTCTACGTCTGCGCTCCTCCTCGCGCTTGCGTCGCTCCTCCTCCCGCTTGGCGCGCTCCTTGCGCTCCAGCTCCTCCTGCTCCGGCGTCTTGTAGCCCGGAATCTGCCAGCACCACAGCAGCGTCGATACAGCTATCAACACAAATCTATGACAAGGACAGTAGCGGCTAGCCAACGTACGTTGCATTTGAGCGGGTCGAACGTGCCGTTCTTGACGTCCTCCATGGCCTTGGCGATCTGCAGGGCCACACACACAACGCTGGGTCAGAAGGAAGCGGAGAGCTTTAAAACACAGAACAGTAGGCGGCCGTACCAGGTCCATGCGCTTGGCGAAGTCCTCCACCTCCCGCTGCGAGATGCCCGAGCGATGCTCCATGTCCAGAGCCTTGAGCGGGTCCATCGCGTTGTGTCTGTTGCGTCTTGTTCGTGCAAGTGTGCTCAGGTTGCACAAGTGTACTTGTAGCCATGTCAAGGATCGCGGCGTTTCACTCAAACGAGGGATCAAGGGCAGTAAAGCGAGGATCGCATCAAAAAGCGCTGCATTGTGCAGTTCAGTTAACATGTAAATGCTAGAAAAGTTGGCTTTCGTCCTTCAAAAGCAAGATCAGAACGCTCACAGTCACTGCCGGGAGCATTCTAACCCTCGCGGTGCGCAGCATACGCCTCGTAATGTCAAGGAATACGAAAAACTTGGACGTTAAATCTTCAGGAAGTACGACACACACGCACAATTCACAAACGCGTACACTCCGCAACAGAACGGAGTTGCGGAACGTCGCATGAGAACAATTATGGGACGGGTACGGGCCCTACAGCTTGACCGTAAACTTCCGAAGCAACTCTGGGCAGTCATGTTACGACCTTGATCAACATGACACCTAGCTCAAAGACTAACGGCCACGTCCCGCGGCTCCCATGTATCTTGGTGGGGCGGAAACCCTCTCCAACGAATACGATAACGAACCGATTGCCGGTTCGTTTTCGGGATACTATGGTTCACAATACGCTCAACAATCCAACGTGTTGAGCCGCGGGCGTCGCGGATCGGAGGCGGCGGCGGTGGGAACACGCCCCGGGTATCGTCAACCTGGGGTTGACCTTGGCCCGACGCTCGAGGAGCGGGTCGCTGCTGTGGAGCAGCATCAGAGCCAGGGGTTCGCCGCTCTGAAGCAGGAGGTGGCGATCCTGAGGGCTAAAGTCGCTCAGGCCTCGCAGACCGCGTCGGACATCTCTGTCGACGTGGGAGGTCGCGTCGCGCGCTTGGCCCAGCGCGTTCACGCGCTGGAGCAGAGGTTCGCTCCCGCTGGGGCTTCCGCTTCGGGCCAGCCGAGCTAGGTGGCTCGTGCTGTCGGTATGGCTTCAGCCGCCCGACGTAAAAGGTCTGATGGTGGCGCATGCTAGATGGAATATCTAGCATGTAGGCGTTGCCATGCCGTGCCAACACCGTGAACGGCCCGATGAAGCGCGGAGCGAGCTTGCTCGCCCCGAAGTCGGAAACTGCATGTTTAGGCAGGTTTTGAGTAGCTAACAAAACCAATGAACCCTTCTTGAATTCATTTGTGTTGCCCCTGCCAACATTGTCTGCGTTCAGCTTCTGTCGGCCGACAGAAGCTGCAATAGCGTCTTGGACAAACCGAATGACGGCTTGTCTGCGCTGCACGAAGTTGATTGCGTCCGAGCTAAACTCGTTCAGCTCGTTTCCAGCAGTTGGCCCGGCCACTGCGTTCGTCACCGCGAAGACAACGCCACCGGCATTCTGCGGCTGCTGCGTTGCAGTCGTAGATCCTCCCCACTTAAGGAAGGAGCCACCATCCCGAGTAGACTCGGGAGGCGTGGGTGCCTTGTGGCATTCACGTAGAACGGCGTATGCCCGGTCGAGGCATGCACCGACTTGTTGATGGCGAGATCCGCCATCGGCAGGCACTCGCACCAGTGTTGGAACGAGTGAGCGTAGCTCTTAAGCACGTCTACGAGCACGCGGTTCACGCGCTCGGTTTGCCCGTCCGTCTGCGGATGATCCGCAGTCGACATCGAAAGTTGACTCCCAAGAAGTGTAAACACTTCTTGCCAAAGGTGTGCAGTGAAGCGCGGGTCTCGATCCGACACAATGTCGATCGGCATGCCATGGTGTTTGAACACCATGTCAACGAACAGACGTGCCGTCTGTTTCGCAGTCACTTCAGCAGGTACCGCAGCAAGATGGTACATCTTGCTGAAGCGGTCAACAAAGACCACAACGCCCGTGTTCCCCTGGCTGTCCGGGGGAAGACCGAACACGAAGTCCAAAGACATGGACTGCCAACACTCCCGTGGAGTTGGTAGTGACTGCAAGGGAACCTGCGCGAAAGGCGCAGGCTTCACACGTTGACAAACCTCGCAAGCACGGACGTACTTGCGCACCCATTTGTACTGGTGGGCCCAGTAGAAGTCTCGTGTGAGAAGAAGGTATATCTTCTCGCGGCCCGGATGCCCCGCCGTCGGTGCATCGTGATACTCATGCATGATCTTGAGTCGCAGGTCATGGTCATTGGGCACGACAACGCGGTCCGCGTTGTCGTCGACTGCACTAACCCGTCGTGCACGAGCACGAAGATGCTTCGGCAGCTTCTGACGAGCTTTGTCAGAAGGCGCTGAGCCATTGGCCAGCAAGAACTTCATGTCCGCGTCGTGCGCGTACGCGACCTTCACGTCGTCCAACAGTGACGGCGTTGGGGTGCGCGATCGCATGGCATCAATGGCATTGACGTCGGCATCAGTCGTGGCGTAGCCAGGTCGACGCGAGAGCGCGTCGGCCACCACATTGAGTCTTCTGGGTTTGTACTCAACCCGGAAGTTATACTCTGCGAAGAATGAGAGCCATCTCGCCATCCGTTGCGAGATGTGCGGCGACTTCACAGCCGTCCGCAGCGACGCGTGGTCCGTATAGACCACGAACGGTTTGCTTCCGAGTAGATCCACTCGGAACTTCGCGATGCGTACTTCATGGCAAGGCGTTCCTTGTCATGCACTGGGTAGTTGCGCTCCGCTGGCTTCTGCTGACGCGATTGGTAGTAGACCACACGATCACGACCCTCGTGATCGTGCTGCATCAACGCACATCCGATTGCGAAGTCGGATGCGTCGCACACAACGTCGAACGGGCGATCTTGGTCGGCCACTGCCAAGATCGGCGCCTCAGTTAAGCCCTGCTTGACTGCATCGAAGGCATGCTGACACTCAGCAGTCCAATTCCGCTCGGCGTCCTTCTTCAGAAGCTGTGACAGCGGGTGTATCATTATCGCGTAGTCCTTCACGTGCTTGCACAAGTACGTGGCCAAGCCAAGGAACTGCCGCAGTTCCTTGACGTTCGACGGCGTCGGCCACTCATTGATCACTCTGACCTTCTCAGGGTCAGGGCGGACACCGTTCTTCTCAACGAGACACCCGAGCACGGGTATTTCGCTCGCCCCGAAGATGCACTTCTTCAGGTTCGCATAGAGCTTGTGCTTGCGCATGAGCGCAAGCAGCTTCCGGAGATGCACCTTGTGCATCTCAACATCGCTCATCCCGTCCGCAGCCCGGCTGTGGACGAACACATCGTCGAAGTAGCTCGGTGCGAAGTCGCGCACCGAGCGCAACAAGTGCGTCACGCACCTGTTGAAGGTCGCAGGGGCATTCTTCAGACCCTGTGGCGTCACTAGCCACTCCCAGAGCACGCCGCTCGGCGTGCTCACAGCCATGAGAGGGATATCGCTCTCACGCATGAGGATCTGATAGAACCTATCGTGCAGATCAAGAGCACTGTAAATAGTGCTCCTGGCCATCGAATCGATAATGACATCTTTTCGCGGTATCGGTGTCTGCGCCGGTATCGTCGCATCGTTCAGCTTGTTGTACGCATGAACGATGCGCCAGCCGCCCTGTGGCTTCTTGACACAGAACGTCGGAGCACTGTGCGGGGATTTCAATTCCCGCACTTGTCCAGCTTTGCGACGACTCTCAACGATGTCGTCGATCGCCTTGACCTGCTCTCGCGGCAGTGGCCACTGCCGCATGACACAGTACTTCGTCCCCGGCACAAGATCAAGCTCGTGCTGGATGCCCTTGTCCTGCGGAAGCTCCGCAGGGATCTCTTCCGGAAGCGCGTCCGCGTACTCCCGCAAGATCTCGTAGCAGGGACTCGTCTTCAAAGAGTCCCAGCTCTGCTCTTCAAAGAGCTCCTTCTTCGTCTTCGCACTGAGAGTGTCCTCGCTCTCAGGGGTGCTCTTCATGAAGAACTGCCTCAGCTCTTTATTCTCGCTCTTCGTTCTTTCGGTGTCCGCGATAATGCATATTTGCTCGATGGGTCCATCGTGCAAGTCACGCGCGAAGTGCTTCCAAGCGAAGTCAACTCTGACACTTGCGTCGGAGGATTAGCGAGAGTCATCTCCCTGTACCGGAACCCGGCACAGGTACACGTCACGACGTTCAACGTCTAGACGCCCGGCTCCTCTGCCTCCGTCTGCCCGGCAGGCATTTCTTGTAGCGTCTCGGCCCCAGGCCGAGACTTGCGCAGCGACCTTCGCATGCGCCGTCTTGTTGTTTTGGGGAGACCGGTTCCGCTTGGTTCTTGACCTCGTCCAGGCTTAGCCATGGACGGGTGTTCTTCTTTTATATCGCCGGCGGGTACATCCCGCGGGCGAGCGACTTCAAGTCCGGCTTGGTCGCACGGCGCTTCGTCGTGCAGCCCGGCTGTACGACAGCATGCAAGTTTTTCCGGTGCAAGACGTTTGCAACCGTCCGCACCAACTGCAGCGTCAGCTCCCAGAGCCGACACGCCATCATCATGTTATTGGCGGAGGCCCCCATTACGGAGGGTACGTCGGCTCCCGGAGCCGACGAATCAAATTCACCCAAGCCATCGACTCCCGGAGTCGACGGCGTTACGTCACCTTGGCTCTTATTATTGGCCAGACCTGATCCAATCCGATTCGCGTCAGCCTCCATAGCTGAGGCGTGTGACTCGCCTGCGTCATCCGTGCCCCTTGAGGCCGGAGACTCGTCCTCATTGGCTGAAAAGCGGGTGTCGACCTCCGAGGTCAACACATTTCCTTCATTAGCTGCCGGCGGCAACGCCGACGCTAGCTGTTCTTGCGCGCGTGCTCGCGCGCGCCCAGGGCGCTCCGGGACAGCGGCATTAGGCGCTGTCTCGAGTGGGGAGTCGCGCGCACCTGTCGGTGCGTGCGTAGCGGCAACAGGGCCATCGCTCACTGTTCCGCTGTCGCGACCGAAGCGCACGAGAGTGTGCTTCCTTCAATCGATGGCCGGATCATGCCGTGCAAGCCACGGCATGCCCAATACAATGTCGAACTTATCGTCCAGATCCAGGGCGATAAAGGTCTCGACAAACTCTTGATCTTCATACGTGAAGCACACGCGTAC